ATGGGTTTTCTGAAACCGTAAGAGCTGTGACAAGCTTCTTCCCAAATTGCATCAACCGCTTTGGATCCACCAAACCCTACGAGATGGGTGCTCATCTGGGGGCCACAACAGGCCTTGTAGTTTCCTAGAGTTGTCAACTCACAGCTCCTTTCAACCTGGCCGGAGCCCAAAATGTGCAACCAGCTACTTGTTTGGAAATCAGCTGCCAACAGTTTTCGTGTTTTCTCTGGCAAGCCACACCATCCCATGAGGTCTCCAGCAGAAACCCGCTTGGAGAACATGTGCTGTGATCTGATATCCCCTACCTGATTCTTCTGGAGTCGAAAATCTGAATTCATCACTGCAACAACGCAGGTTTCTGGGCAGGAGGCCCAAGAGCTTGTTCCCTAGAGACGGAATCAGACATGAGGTGTGACCACAGCAGGCAGTGAACTGTGGAAGGAGGATTTCCCTTCCTGTGATCTGCAACTTCCTACAACAGAACAACTGTGTCTCCAGTGGCAGCAACCAAGCATCCAGTCCCACCACTGACTTGTGCCTCAGCTCTTGTCCTAAGAGCTGCTAAGTCTTAGAGCTACGGTTGCTTGGAGTGATTTGTGAGGTGATTCAAATATAAGTACAAGAGTGAATTTTATTTTCATTCATTTATCTGCATGAGAGCTCCAATGAGTCTAAAAAGACAGTCTACCACAGTTCAGCTATGTCTAGGGAAGGGGAAGTGTTTCCTCTATATGTCAGCAATAGACACGGGTACCAAATGCTGTTCTTGCAATATGCAATCCAGAGAAGAATAAATATGTGTGAAGGTTTGGGAACGGCAAGTTTTCACCCAGTAGAGGTAAGGAGGTAGGAGCTGAGAACATGAAGCTTTAGACATGAAGTTAGCCTACACCTTTGTGCAGTGGGATGTGGATCATTTGGACTCTGTGCTCCACAGCTTGAAGATGAAATTTGTTCTCTAAAGAAAAGACAGAACCATGGGGATGGGATCCTCTCCATTTAACATTGTGTATGCAGTGGAGGTGCCTCTATTAGTGGTGGGCCTCTCAGTACAAACAGGAACCTGCAGTGTGATTAGAACTGGAGAAACGGATCTCCAAGAACTGTATTGACTCAGTCTCCCTAGGAGTTTGATGACATGCTCAGGTGGAGACACCTACCCATTGCAGAAGCCTACATTTGGTTAGCTGGCCCCAGTCCTGCTCTCCTTTCCTGAAATAGGCAGGGAAAATTGTTTAATCTCTAGTATGCGGCAGGACACATGTTCTTCCTATCTGCTGGGAAGATGGCTTGTTCACTCACTGCTTGTCTTCATTTGCCTTTGAAGAGCCGTAATCCCCAAGAGGGGATTACAGACTGCTGGACAAACTTCCTTATAGGACCCCTGGTCATTATATAAAAGGAACACAGCAACAACTTTGTGTTCTTTTGCAAACTCCAGGCCATGGTCTGGCCAGATAAACTGTGTCCCTGTGTCCCAGCATCCCAAAATCCTGGTGTGAAGCTGCCATGGGCAGGAATGGTTCCCAAAAGTGGAAGGAAACTATTCCCAGCTGCAGATATGATGGAAAGAAGGATCCAAGGGATTTCAGTATCTGATAAGAACCGCCTTGCATAGACATAGCTGCACAGAGACACAGCCCCTTCTCCCCAGCTTCTCCTCCCCAGTCCATCCACAGAGCTCAGGGCTACGTCCACCAAATAATAGCTCCAATCCTCCCCTTCCCTAACCCTGTGAAATCACCGGGCAAAATTATTGCACGTCCATCTCCCTATCTCAGATCACCTACAGGTTTTCTGGCTGCCACAAGGCTTTCTGGCCAGCTCAGCTCTTTGGGAAAGAATTGAAACTTCACCGGAGAGAGGTGCGAACAGCAGGAGATGGCTAAATTTCCACTGTCTGGGAAGAGAAGACAATGGTTTGAGTCCTCTTTGCTGTACAGGGGGAGATCAAAGCTGTGGCTGACATGGTCAGTATTGTGGATAAGGAAGGCAGCATCCAGCCATTCAAAGCTGTGAGCATCTACATCTCACATGCCTGGTAGCTGGAGTGTCTGCAAGATCTAAAGGAGGATCTGGTATTTACATGTCTGCGTGTGTGCGTCTGTGTGGGAGTAGGGTTTGTATATATTATAAGGAGAAACTCCAGATGGAAACAAACCAGACTGGTGTCTAAGGCCTGGTTCAAAGCCCATTAAAATCAGCAGAAGTCATTCCATTTACTGTGAAGGGTTCTGGCCACATCTCTCCTTGCCCCTCCCCAACATGCCTATGAGCTCAGGGCTGGTCCCTGCTGCATATCCTCAGTTAAACCCTGCGAGCGATGGGGCTTCCCATGTTTACCAAGGTGGATCTTTTACAGGGTATCACTGGAGATACCTCCTCCTCTGGTGTTCACACCCTGCAGATACTTAGAGGCAAGTGTGGCTCATTCATCACTCCTTGCTTGAGATACCAAGATCCCATTGTTTGATTTGGGTTTGTAAATTGGCGCCACCAGGTTTCTTTCCATCTTCTGTGTTGCTTTTATCTGAACACACTCCAGCATCATCTCCCTCCCTAGGAGCCAGATTTGAGATCAGAAGGGCTCGTTATCTCATCACCTGGTCTACCACGTTTTCACCAGGTCTGCCTGAACTGCCTGTAACCTGTCTGTAACTAAAGCATCATTTTCTGAAAGACCTTCATGCTGTATTTGCAGACATCAAAAGCCGATGACCTCTTTGCTCAAATGGCTGCAGTCTGTGCATGGTGATGGTATGACTTCTTCTCCTTTGGATTTGTTAGGTTTCTGCTGTGCTCTTGTGTATAAAGGAAGCCTTTAAGATCTTATCGTGTCCATATAAGTGTGTTTATAGCCTGCAAACAAGCTACCTCTCTACCTTCATTTCAGTAAGATCACAGGTTTTTGCTCCTGAAGACTTTCACTGTAAGGCATTTTATTTCATGTTTTCCATTTTCAACAGGCTTTAAAAATGTAGATGCTGGAACAGAACCAAGCATTAGAGTAATCAGTCGTAAAGATGCAGGGTTGTTTCCAGGCTCCACTCCCCCATTTATACAGCCACAGATTGCAAGAGCTTCCTTTGCCACAACACTGAGTTAGAGGTCAAAACTGAGCTGCTGCTTCTCTCTGCACCACAAATCCATGTGAGAGACATTGCTGTCTGCTCTCCTCCTCCTTGTCCTCCCCAAAACACTACCCCAACCCCATGGGTCTCTGGATGCATCTCACTCAAATCTTGACCAGGCTGAACAAACCCATTTAGCTTTTTCATCCCGATAACATCACAGGTCAAAGTGGAACAAACAGAAAGTGGAGGGTTGAGCCATCGAAGCAGATCGAGATTTGCCATGGGGGTGTCACGGACGGTAATGTAATGTTCTGCATGAACGTGCAGGAGATGTGTTCAGGGATAATGTACTTGCACAGATAGAGAAGAATTTTTTTAATTCCAAGGTGTTATCAGATCTGGAAAAAATGCTGAATGAGTGCAGTAACAGTCTATTGCTACATCGTGAAGGGGGAGCTGTATTCCCTCTCTAACATCCACACTGTAATTGCACAGACTCCACAAATAATTAACTTGAGACTAACCAGACTCTCTTACCTGAATTAGATCTATATTATCAGTTCACTCCCCACCCCAAAAATTAATTTTCACTCTCAGACCCACACCCCTTTATTATAATAGATAATGTGAAAATCTCACCCAAATAATTTGGTGGGAATATTAGGAAGAAAGGAGTTTCAGCTTGTTTGGGAAGAAGAGAAAGTCTAGAGGAAACAGAAATTACAAGAACATTCAAGTCCCCATGCTGATCACATATATATTCATGCGTATGTCTGTAGGCATAGTCATCTCACTACTACCACACATGATGGTCTGGTTTCAGCAGCCAAGGCTTTCCATGGTGCTCTCTGCCGCAGCATTGAACTCAGGGATAACATCGCATTGCTTGATCACTGTAAGGCCATGTGCGAGACACCACACGCTTGCACTCTGAGCCAGGGCTGTCAAGGACAGACACAATCATGCAGCTCACTTAATAATCCTGTAGTCTACTCAAAAACTAGGCCACTCATCTAGGAACAGGTGGATAGTCAAATGTTGGCGTTTGCTAAGACCCCTCCAAACATTCCACAGCCCAACATCTCCCAGAGGTCCCGTTGCTTTATCCTTTGCCCACATCCCAAACTGCCTCCCGAGTACAGTGATGCTTCCTGATGTGCTGGTTTTCTTCAGTGCCTCTTTGTGCGACCAACCTGAAGAGATCCATTAGAGCAAGCAGTGGCTGGAGCAGAGTAGCCGGGTGGTGATGAATGTAGGAAAGGGGAGGCTACACCAGCTATGAGTATAGTTTGGCCAACAGAAGGGAAATAAGCGTTGAGCTGCAGCTTTCCATTGCTTGGGCTCCCAGCAGCCTGTCACCATAGAAAACTGCCTATTGTATGAAAGGAAACCTTTCTAAGGTAAGCATTTATTCCAGATAATCACAAAACCTAAGATGGAATGGGTTAGTGTCTGGCAAGGCAAGGAGAACAACCATGAGGAGAAAGGCTCTTCCAGGAGCAGTTTGCTTTTGTAGCAAAGGGTTGTTGACTCTTCTCTGAAAAGAAGACTACTCCAGGGCTGCCCAGAGGCCACAAGCATCCCTCATTGCTGAGGGACTCCTCCTACCATGGACAAATAGGATACAAGGTGGGGGAAAAGTGGCAAGCTACGTCTCTAATCAGAATAAACCTCTTGGGTACTCACCTCCAGTCCTTGTCAGAGCCTGGAAAAGTGGCTTTGAAACTTATCATTTATGCTGAGATAGTGGTGTAGACTTTAAGGCTGTCTTGAGAGCTCCTGTTGCCTGCGCAGCATGTGGACACCTCATGCAGTCTCCCCTGGTCCCAGTGTGGACAAAGCGCTCAGAGAACACAACAGAAAACCAACCACAATTGAATTTATGAAGCTTTACATCAGATTAAATCAGCAACAAAGCAAAAGAAGTGCAAGTACTGTCTTTATTCTGTGAAACTGTAAAAGAAGTTTACAAACTTCCCACACAGGAGAAGCCACAGCAAACAGGACTCAGTGCAAACCACTGCTGGAGTTTGTCATGGGCTTTGCTGAACACAGTACCAGAGAGTATCAGAAAAATATCTTCTCCAAGATGAATCCTGACAGGACTGGGAGGAAGACAGTGTTTGGAGGGGCAAACCCAGAATTCAGTCTGGCAAAAGTGGATGCTGGTGTACATTGGAACCGCCTTAACTTTATGTCCATCATCCCCAGATTGTTTTTTCCGTCTCCTACAATACTGCATTCAGAAATGGTGGTGCAACCCTTCATGGCAGCTTTCAAAGACAGTCCACCTACAGAGGAGAAGTGCATTCCATGCATCAGGTGAACCAGTGTCTCTAGCTATTCCCTCCCTAGCTAATGAGGTCCACAATTCCACCCCAAAAATTGCCCGTTCTTATGTCCAGTTCCCTCCAAACCCACAAAATTATTCCTGTCTGTTCCTATCCCCTGAATGAATTTGAAGCAGCAACAAGGTCACCCAGGTGGACTTGAAATCCAAAAGCTTTGCTAGGTCACCCAGGTGGACTTGAAATCCAAAGGCTTTGTGTTTTCTTTCTTTCTTTCTTTCTTTCTTTCTTTCTTTCTTTCTTTCTTTCTAATCAGTAGGATTTAAAAAAAAAATTCTTTCTTTCTTTCTTTCTTTCTTTCTTTCTTTCTTTCTTTCTTTCTTTCGAATCAGTAGGATTTAAAAAAAAAATATTTTATATTTAAAAGTTGAAAAGCTTTTAAATAGTTTTCTTTCTCTGTTCTGTTCATTCTTCTGTTCATACCTTTCCTAATTCCTAAAGAAACCAGGGCTGTGTGACAGTACTCCAGGTGTCCAACATCTCCTTCTCTCTCTAGCCCTCTCATGATATTTGAGCTGGATGACCATCTCTCAGCCAAATCTGACAAAAGGGTGAGAAGTCTCAAAGTCATCACAGCCTGAGCTGTTTATTCAGATAAGTCGATTCTCTAAGGCCTTACATGATTTAGCCAAACCAACAGAGGAGTCTCGCTCACATGTCCACTGAGGGAGAGCCTGAAACCTGAACGTGGCCTTTGCCAACACTGGGGCATCTACCTGAGAAGGACACCTGAGAAGGTCCTGGGGGCCTAACTCCCCATCCAGATCTTCTTGCTCCCATTGTTTACTTTCTCTCATACTGCTGATGTTTCTCTCCTTCACAGGCTATGGAGGTCTGGAATATTCTGCAGGACATTTTTATCCTAAATACAAATAATATGTAAGGGCACTTCATTAGTTCCTCACCTTCCTTTGCTCCTCTATACTGCTACTTCCTTTGTAGAACTCATCACACTATACAGGTCTCCTCTGTTTACTGTGGCTGATTGATCAAGTCAAGACAAATTAGTACCGTTTTTTATTTCAGTGGTACACTGAATTAATTGCACTATTATGTTTCCATTGTTGTGACTAAGAAAATGCTTGTTTTCCTTCATGTTGTCCCTGTGAAACATCTTCTAATTCAGGGTTTGGACAGCACATCTATACAGGGTATAGCAAAGACCTTCAGGCATCATATCATCACCTAGGAATGTTACCAACTCAGAGAAACTTCATCCTTAACCATATCAAGAGGGTGGTGTGCCATCCAGAGGGACTGGGACAGGCTTGAGAGATGGGCCCATGCAAACCTCATGAAGTTCAGCCAGGCCAAGTGCAGGGTCCTGTACCTGGGACATGGAAATCCCAGGCACAAATACAGCTTGGGTGGAAAATGGCTGGAGAGCAACCCTGAAGAGAAGGACTTGGGAGTGCTCGTGGATGAGAAGCTTGACATGAGCTGGCAGTGCACACTGGCAGCCCAGAAAGCCAACCGCATCCTGGGCTGTATCAAGACAAGTGTGGCCAAAAGATCGCAGGAGGTGATTCTACCTGACTACTCTGCTCTGGTGAGACCCCACCTGGAGTACTGTGTCCAGCTCTGGAATCCTCAACACAGGAAGGACATGGACCTGTTGGAACGGATCCAGTGGAAGGCCACGAAAATGATCAGAGGGAAGGAGCACCTCTGATATGAAGACAGGCTGAGAGAGTTGTGATTGTTCAACCTGGAGAAGAGAAGGCTCTGGGGACACCTTACAATGGCCTTCCAGTAGCTGAAGGGGGCCTACAGGAGAGCTGGAGAGGGACTCTTTATCAGGGAGTGTAGTGACAGGACAAAGGGTAATGGTTTTAAACTGAAAAAGGGGAGATTTAGATTAGATCTTAGGAAGAAATTCTTTACTTGGAAGGTGGTGAGACACTGGAACAGGTTGCCCAGAGAAGCTGTGGCTGCCCCATCCCTGGAGGTGTTCAAGGCCAGGCTGGATGGGGCTTTGAGCAACCTGGTCTAGTGGGAGGTGTCCCTGCCCATGACAGGGTGTTTGGAACTCAATGATCTTTAAGGTCCCTTCCAACGCTAACCATTGTATGACCTGTGACACATAAGGTAACTTTTTTCCAGTCTTCTTTTCAGGGCAGGTGCAGCCACCCTTAATTTCCACATTATTTTTCCTGCCTGCTGGAGCACAAGTGGTGTTACCATGGAACATGGAAGTCTTCCCTGCAGCAGGGAAGGAAAAGGGGATGACCAGGGAGCTTGCTGTTTACTTGCCTCTATTAAATTACAGCTCTTGGGGTGGGACAAAGATTTCTGAAGGAGAGCATTACATGCTGTTGGTGATCCCAGCCGTTCAAAGACTGGAGCTCCCCCATAGGGAAGATCTTTGGGGACCCAGAGGCTCAGCTGCAGTATTCATGGGAAGAGACCTATCCCTGGCTTTCTAGGGGCAGAGGCACCACTACAACAAACAGTGACTTGTCCCCGATGGCCAGTGTTACCTCATGAGGAAGCCAATGGCTCTGTATTGGTTTCATCTGAGCCCCTACTAAGTAGGCAACTGGCTTAGATCCAGATTCATCCTTATATGTCCTAGCTAGGGATAGCAGGCTCAGGGTCTTGGTCAGATTTACTAAGTGGTCTTGTATCAGATTGCTTCAGGAGTCCATTTCAGTTCTTGACCTCAGTTATGGTGTGCTATGAGGAATTCCAACAGTTACCTGTGCATGATGAGGAAGTAAGAAGAAAAAAACACCCCCACTCTTTTGTCAGCTTTAAGCATATTCCCCTTCAGTTCCAAGTCTCTTCCTCTTTTTTGCCCTTCACACTTTTTTGCCCATCTTTATTTCTCTGCAATGCTTCTTCCTAGCCTGCTTTTACCTACTTCACCAAAAAGATGAGAGACAGCCCCAAATAAAAGGCAGTTACCAGAATTCATTAACCCAGCCAGGTCAACACACTGAGTTTCGGATCCAGTGCAGTTTACAATTTCATTACCACACTGGAAGGAGTCCATGCTGTAGCAGGCGGGACACTGGTACCCATTGGGCACAGAGTCCTCTGGTGGCACTGGAAGGAAAGAGACAGGCCGTAACTGGTTTTAAGAAGGGAAGGAGAGGAACGAGCTGGGCGATGGTGAAAGCCTCACCTCGGGTGGGGGCAGACACAGGGGGGATGAGGTGTAAGGAAAAAGGGAGCTTACGCGAGACAGAGACTGTTCGACAGTCATCGCCCGTGCAGCAAGCCAAGTGGCTCCTTGCTTTTACCTTCCCATAATTCATGGTGATAGGGCCAAGCTGGCAAATGCTGGATGGCAGGCAGGACTTGACGGACGAAGGGATTGCCATCCCCCCTGTAATGAAGCCAAGGCAGCACCAAGTCATTAACCACAAGATAACTCCCTTCCCCTCCCATCAGTTCCTACAGCAGCAGCTCTTAAGCAGCCCTCCTGGGGCCTGAGAAGGGTCTGGGGACACCAGGGCCACCCCAAAAGCAACACCAGTGATCCTGGTGGTGGACTGAGGGTGCCATCACATCTGAGATGCTAGTGCGGAATTCCTCCTTCTCCATGTTGTGCTTAAAGGCAGGAGGAGAGCCCTCCCCACAGCCAGCTGGCCTTGTTGCAGATGTTCACCTTAGCAAGAGTGGCCCAACCACAGAGCTCATGGGGTGACCCACACGCCTCTGACCCACAGCTCGTGCTTCTCCATGCACAGTCCACAGAGCACACCATCTATCGCAGCCGCAGGCGCGAGCATCCTGACAGAGACAAGTCTAGTCTTTCCCGTGAACTAAACCCAGAAGGTGTATTGGGGAGCAGATCAGTTACGTTGCAGTCTACTGAGGCCCTGGCAGCATTGTGAGGAGGGAAGGTGGCTTTGCACGAGCAGCGGGAAGACATGCACTGGAGCTGCAAGCACCAAAGCTGGCAGGATATGAGATAACCTCCAGTCTAAAAGCCAACAGTCACATTACCGAAGCTGGTCAATGACACAGGCCATGTCACTAAGACAAGCAAGTGTGCAGTTGTGTGAGGGCTCACCACCGGTCTTGGGCTTATGAACCACAGGGACATGGTGATAGCTCACCTCTGGTGGTGCCTGGTGTCTTCTTCCCTGCTTGAGGCAGGGAGTGAGAAGCAGGCCAGTTTCCCCCTTCACCCATGGCCAGTCCACCATCAGTGCTAGGTGCCAGCGGCCTTGTGTCCCTCACAGCCCAGACTCTCAACTCAACTGTTCACCTTAGCCAATGTCTCCTCCCACCATGCTGCTTAGGTCCTCCCCTCCACAATAAGAACAAAGCCCTCCCACGAGGAAACTACTGCTCAAGATAGAAGAACAGAGACCTTTTCCCACCCCAGGTCTCTGGATCCTCTGTCAGTGAAAAACAAAATGAACAGCTTATCCAAGGACTCACCATAAGGCCAGTGACAGAGGTGGGGAGAGAGACCCATTCCCCAGCCCCATTCCAAAAGCCATGCTTGCGTACAGCCATAGTGGATGTCCCACCTACCTATCATGGCCTCGTGCAGAATGATGCCGCAGGTATCTTCACCACCAGTACAGGTTTTCATGGGGCCAGAGCAGCTTTTCCCTATGCTGTGACAAATCTCACACTGAAGGGAGGTCCCTGGGAAAGGAGGACACATTCCTGGGTAGCAGTCATGAGGGATCTCACTTCCCCTTTCATCAACATTTTCCTTCAGCATTTGATCAGCACTTTTCACATTCCTCTTTCCTTATTTTCCCTGTTTTGTTGCTCAATTTGTGGGTTATTTTCTATTATTTCTATTACTATTTATTCTAGTACGAACTTGAATTTGGGCAAGAGAGGGGAAGCCATTTTGGGATAGCATTTTACATTTTAATCACCAGTACCCATCCAGCTTCCATTGTCTCCTATGTGATGATTGCCTGTTTTCTGCAGGTTGCTAAGGCAAGCATCCCCACAAACCCTTCCACCCTGGAGTGTATTCACGAGTCCCTGGATTCCTAGGCCCCAAATCTTCTCTTTGCAGTGAGCAGGGGCACCCAAGCCCTGGGGACCAAGAAGCTGCCGGCAGGTATTGACAGGGCTGTGTACTAACTGGGGAATGGCATAACTCTTTGCAGGGACTAAGGGAAACCACTTTGCCAACTGCCTGCTGCAACATCTTAAGCAGATCAGAATATGAGGCAGTCAGCAGGAGACACTTAGAAAGGAATAAAGCCTTCATCAGCAGAGGACAAACAGCACTTCTTCCCTGACACACTCTCATTGGGACCCATGTGTCCAGCATGTAGATTAAGAGGTCCAGGACATGTCGTTCCCTAAACCCAGGTGCCATCTAAGGCACCTTGCAGTGGCTGTGACATCTACATGAGGTGGCAGGTATGGCACAAGACCTCCAAGATGCTTCTGGAGCAGAGCTGAAGGACAACCGAGGTGACATAAAAAGTCTAAAATGTCACATGACCCTGGGCACGAGCAAAATAAATGAGCCCTTAAATTTGTGGAAAATTGTGGCCTGAGATTGATTCAACCAACCAAAGATCTGCCTGCCTGAGAGTAACCTGATTCACTCCGGTGACTGATCCAGCTGGATCACCAGCGACCTCAGCAGGAGTTTAGACAACCAGTTCACACTGTAAATGCCTACACCTCCATCTGCACGTTGGCTCACAGCACCAAAGATCCTCCAAGACCAGCCACCCTCTGCCATGCATATGCCCCTGGATGAGGGGCTCCTACAGCCCAGGTGGCAGGAACGGCCCCTCGCGCCGAGCACCCGATCCCAGACCTCTTCGATACTGCACAGCCCCACAGGTCCCAGTGGAAAACTCACCTGGATCCAGGAACACCAGGAAGATGCTGAGGCCAAGGGAAAATTTCATGCTGATGGGATGTAAGCACAGGGAGCTGCCAAGCCTTGCTGAACACAGCACTGTGTGCCACAAGGGCTCTATGAACGGGAAGAAAATAGGATGTTTTGCAGAAGTAAGGTTGAGGAAGTGGTCTGAAGAATATAGACACTGCAGAGTGCTGGCATGTTTTTTTTTTTTCATTTAAAGCACGAGTTCTGCCTTTTCCTCCACATGAGGAATGCTGTTTGTCTTTCCCAGTCTAGACCATGCAGCCTGTGGGGCAAGACTGGCTTGCCTGGGGTCTATCAGGTATGTCTCTGGTGCAAATGTTGTTTGGACAACATTCAGCCTCTGCCATTCATATGAATGATGGAGGAGAAACCATTTGAAGACCCCTGTTGTGCTCTCACTGTTAGGCCCATAGAAGCAAAGTGTAGCAAGGGTCAGCTGGGAATTTTCCTTGTGGCTGAGTTTTTGCTGGCTGGTTTCCCATCTCTCTTCCCATCAGACAGTCATGAGCTCTTATACCTTGAGTGCAGCAGCAAAGCAGGAAGCTTCCTCTCCAAGCTGGTGTGCCGCTTCTGTTGGCAAAAAACTGCCAGTGCACACCTTGGAGCAAGCTCAGTCAGGGGTTCCTGGGGTTGAATACATCAGAGCTGCAGCACGGGTCCTCCAGGTTGTGGGTTTTGATTGGAAGTGGATAAGAAAGTCTTCTGTTGTACCTCTGGGCTTTAAATCAAACCAGGCAGCAGGGAGAAAGCATCAATGTGTCTATGAGACAGCCTGGTCACAGCTTAGGTGAGGTGAGGCTCGACGAGGCCCTGGGCAACCTGGTCTAGTTGGGGGTATCCCTGCTGACTGCAGGGGGTCAGACTAGATGACCTTTGGAGGTCCCTTCCAGCCTGGACAATTCTATGATTCTATGATTCTTAGGTAATGTTATGGCAGGTTTTCCATGCCCTGACTTCTCATGATGAGCCAATGCCAAGCAGCAGTGACCAACCTGCCATCAGCCCAAAGGTTCCCCGCCTCATGTGAAGGCTTTATTAGGTGGTACTGAATCTGTTCCCTACCCTGAGGGTACCCTCTATACTCCTGTCCTGCACCAGATAAGACACGGCCAGTTACTTTATGGTCCTCCAGGACTTTTTCCGCTGACAGCAATGAAGAACTGAAATGCCCTTGTGCTCCCTCTGAACTGCAGTATCAGCTCCTTGGGCAAGATGTTGCTCCAGGTAGACTTTTCACTCTGTAGCATAGCAAGGGTGCTGGGCCTCCAGACACAAAGGCAACCCAAACAAGTAGTCCTCCACAGCAAGGGCATGCAGACCACAAATACAGAGAGATAATTAATCACAAATGAGAGATGAACGGACTTTCCAAGGTTCACCCAGTCCTTCCTGCCATCCAGGACAACATCTGCCTCTGGAGATGTGTCATGTAGCTGGGAAATCTGGTCTGCTGGGGAGGGAGTTTCACCTTGAACCTGGGAGGCTAGGTGTTTGGTGAAGAGCTGAGAGGTTTTCACTGCTGAGGTTTCCTACTGATGCACAAACAAGTTAAGTGCTGCTCCTGGCTCCACCAAAGATTTCCTACAAATCCATAGAGAAAAATCGCAGATCTTGCTGATCTTTCCACTCACACTTTCGCTTTGATTGTCCATTTCTCTTTCCCACCTTACTATCTGCTTTTCCCATTTGGGACTAGCCTCATGAGAGAAAAAGTGGTTTTGTGACATTTCCAAATACATTGAGTGTTCCAGTGGGATGTCTTCTTATCTAAGCCCACAGCACTATGACAATGGAAATTAGTGCAATCACACTGCATAAAAGCCTAGGTCCCCAATGTCCATAAAGTCGATATCACAAGACAAGGGAGAAAAAAGTCATCATCTTGAATTTCTTTTTCAGCTGAGAAGTGGTCTCAAGTCACAGTAGATACATTATAATGGAAGCAAATTTCTCACTGCAGCCAATCCAGGATTGAAATTCAGTCCTCATTGATCTTAAACCTCAGACTGAATAAAACCCTGTCCCCAGGCAGGCTGGGGTGCTCAGATCAGGGCGATCCTGCCATTTAACTACATGTGGGTCTGCAGACACAGATAGCGAGATGGGTGGATGTGGCTGTCTCTGATGATTTTCATTTCATGCCCTTTCATTTAAGATGATTACTGAAGTGCCTGGGGGATTTTCCCTGAATGACATGACTGCACTAGCCCCACTGAATTGTATTGAACTCACCTGTTTCCCACCTCTCATGGAGGGAGGGTGTGAAGCTGCAGTCTTTTCATGTGCATTTTTAGAGACGAAACCAAGTGTAACAAGGAGGAGCCACAGTCGCAGCAATAAGAGACCTGGAAAATAAGGCTTATGAGACAAGATGGAAAGAATAAAGGTGCTCAGGGGACACCCAGTCATATCACATGCATCTGCAGAAACAAGGGCTGGATAGGAAAAACTACCACAGGAGTCTTACATTAGGCATTGGGGGAATTTTCTAACAGCGACAGTAGTGAAGCTGATTGCCTACAAAGGTGTGGATCTTCCATCCTGGGTGGGTTGGAAAAACAGGCTAGACAAATACTTATTAGGGAATTATTTAAGTTGATAGGATCGTGCTCCAGGGCTGAGAGGTTGATTAGATGCTGTCTCTCAAGATCCTTTCTAAATTGGTTCTTATATTTTAATTTCATGGTGTGCACAAAGCAGCTGTCTCCTGCAGCATGTCCATGTTTCCAGAAGCAGAGAAGGGTGATAACACAGGAGCCACACTCTACGAGGATGTGAGGCACAGGCTGGGGAGGTCAGAGAAAATGGTGAGAGAAGTTAGAAATCCAAACCAGAAAATAGCATTGGCAGGAAGGTGAGAAGAAGGGGATACATTCAAATGAAATATGAAAGACACTCATCTGGGCTACAGCATGGACAAAAATCATATGTGAATTTGTCATGCAGGCTTGTGGCAGAAAATGACAGTGGGTTTCATAGAGCCATTTAGTTTGGAAAAGACCCTTAAGATCATCGAGTCCAGCCATTAACCTAACCCTACCAAGTCCACCACTAAACCATGTCCCTAAACGCCACATCTACACATTTTTTAAACACCTCCAGGGATGGCGACTCAACCACTTCCATGAGCAGCCTGTTCCAGTGCTTGACAACAATTTCAGTGAAGAAATTTTTCTTAATATCCAATCTAAACTTCCCCTGACACAACTTGAGCCTGTGTCCCCTCATCTTAAGAGCCCGAATATAAAGCAAGAAGATAATGAAACAGGTTCATATTACAGCCAAAGAACCCAGGTCAGAACGCTCTGGGAAAAGTAAGAAAAGTGGATAAGGTTTGACAAAGAAAGGAAAATACAGAAAGGGCTGCAGGTATACAGCTTGCATAGGAGATGAAAAGCCTTATGCAGTCCTTAGTGGCCTTGAAATGGAAGGAGATGCTCAGGGGATAACAACAGTGATGGCTTTAAGAAAGAAGAAGTGAGATTAGAGCTAAGGATAAACCCTCCAGTGGTGAGGCCAGCTGGGACCTCAAAGAGCACCCTGTTCCTGTGACGAAACACTTGGGAATGAGCCAGAAGGACAGTGTGCGCCTGGGTCGAGGGCGAAGCTGACACAGCCCTGGGACCCGGGAAGAGCACTGCAGCTGCCAGTCCTCCTCCCTCCCAGTTACTGTGGCTTCGATGAATGGCAGAACCATGACAAAGACTCCCCTCCTGGCATCTGGGTAGCCAGAAAAGCACTTTCTGCAGTGGCGGACAAAATGAAGGCCTCTGTGATGGAACTGGTCGGCTCAGAAGCACAGCTCACACTGACAGTCCAAATTCAGCTGATGTATCTCACTAAATGCCTCGTTTGCAGACATCCGTGGTCTGCAGACACCCTTTGGGGAACTGACCATATTTATTTGAGATTCACCAGGGGTCACCAACTCTGTGAAACCACATCTGACTCAGGAAGGACCCAACACTGAAGTAGGTGAGGCTGGCAGATACTCCTGACAGAGACAGGAGGATGATACACATTTGCTCTGTTCTTCCTTTTACTCAGGGCTCTGCTTATGTCCACTGGTGGGATTTTGGGGTGTTTTTTTCCCAGGCTCCTACCCCCAACAGTGCATGAGTGCTGCATCCTGCAGCCAGCTCTAAGGATGAGCAACTTTTGGGTAAGATTTGGCCACCAACCAGCTGCAGCAGCAGCTTGATGGGGGTTGGGGTGGCTGGAGAGGAGCAGAGCATGACATCTGCTGCCACTGAGGCTCAAATCAAAGCAGAGACCTGAGAAGGAATATGGTCATTTGTGTGCTCCAGGTCATGGATGACATAGTCAGACGCATGTCACAGTGTCAGGTTGAAGACCTGTACGCATGGTCCTTGCATGGCCTGGGTGCTCAGCTAGGTCCACAGGGACATCTGTACTGGTGGCAGCCACAGCAGCACTGTCACCCGCTGTCCCCACACGACCAAGACACAGCTCCAAAACCAGGTTGGAGGGGCCATGATGCCCGTAATAGCCATTTTTAACCACAATGTGCCTCTTCTTCTGCTGGCGGACAGTCCTGACCTTTAAGCCTCACGAGACTGACATTTGGGCCCTAGGACCCTGTACACCCCCACCAGTTCTAACACCACCAATAAGAGAGAAAAAATCCAAAAAGCCCAGGTGCAGCTTCTGCAGGAACAAATAGAGCAAAGGTACCTCTCTTACCTCCCTTTACACACAGTGCAAGAGGACAGAGCCGCAACATGTTGGGACATTTCAACAGTGAAGTCATCCACAGCCCATAAAAAAGAGCTGTAGAAGAAGAAGAATCAAACCCACCCATTTTCTGAGCCGATTCCTTGTTCTGCAGAACAGAGATTGGCAAAACCTGCCAATCTAGTTAACCAGGCGAGGAAACACAAGGCAACAACCCTAACCATATCATGTGGGGACTAGAGTGCCTGTCCCAAAGAGCGAGAGCAGGAGGAGTCCCACTGCTTGCTTGCTAGCTACAGGCTGAAGAAGCTTTTGATGGTCATTTGTTTCAGCTGTGCTTGCATAGATTAATAAACTGGACAGGGGGGTGGGAAGTCAGTATAAATCTAATTGCGACTCCCAATTAGGATCTTC